GATTCAAACTCAAGTGAGTAATACACCATATATTCTTTTTCCATAAAGCCATTCAAAAGCTGAAAAAGCTGTTCTTTACATCTCAAATTATGTCTCTCTTGCACTCATGGTAGCAGTGTAAGAGGGGCTAACCTCTGATCTCACTATGTTCAGCTTTCGTGTTCCTGTGCCTGGTAGGCTTCATTTGTCCACCTTTCAAAAACAAGAAAACTTCAATAATGTATATAACTGCACTGTTTTTAATGCCCATAGTTACAGAGATTTGGGGGGGCAGTCCTGGGTTCTAGGCAAGCACAGTGGTTCAGAAGTACCCTAAACCAACTTGCAGGATTTTAAATGCAAAATTATTATAACTATGAAAAAACTAGGCCGGGGATTTAGCTCAGTGGTTCCACTGCCTGCCTTGCAAGTGCAAGGTCCCGAGTTTGATCCCTGGTACCAAAAAAAAAAAAAAAAATTATATAACTATGAAAAAACTGCAGGTACAAATATTAACCTAAATAAAATTTCTGGTTTAAAATCCATAGTACAAAGACCATTTGAAAATATCTATCTGCTAAATCCACTGAGAAACTAGAAGCAACTTTAACAGCTAACCACAAAATATTAAACATTTCTGGCTCAAAATAAATAACATCTGAAGTGAGATACTGCCTCCACCAACAGACATCTCATTTGTTTGCCTAGAACCACTTATATTTCATTTAAGCCAGCATCATTTGTAGGCATATATCAATGTCTAGTGTACAATCTATGTTCCTGTAAACTTTCCCCCATTCACAAGCTGTAGTTCCCTTTTTTAATGGCAAGTTTCCAGCAAATACATTGAGTTCTTACAAAAGAATTTAACTTTTTAACTCAGTTTCTAAGGCACACTAGAGCAACAGTACCAAACCATAAACAATGTATATTGATGTGGTTGACATCCACAGATAGCTCTCTTCCCCAGACCACTAATACTGCTGCAGTTATGAAAACAATGTGTTGGATTTGACTAACAGTCTTTTGTAATGCTGTGTAATTATTTTGGTTTTTTAAAATAATTTCTTCCTTGGAAATGTTATGGCAATCTTCTGGCAAAATGGTAATATTATAGATGTGTCAAAAACCAATCAATAAGGATAGAACACTTTGTTTTCAACTTGCCAGGATGACTACCAATGCAGTTACTACAGGGATTCATTACTCCAAACATATTCAACACTTTTCTCCCCCTACCCACCATCTTCAATCATCCACTTTCCCTTTACTTACTGGGAGTATCATAAACACTCACTGCTAACACCCTAGATCAAAGTGTGAAAACTTTTTCTGTAAGGACCAAACAGTAAAAATGGGGCTCCTAGGCAATAGTATCTGTCACAACTATTCAACCTTGTGATTTAACCTGCAATGTTAAAAAAAAAAAAAAAGCACAGCTGTGTTCAAATAAAACTCTTATTTATGGACATTGAAATTTAAATTTCATGTCATTTTCACATGCTATAATAATTTTCTTTTCCAATCATTTAAAAATGTAAAAAAAAATTTTAGTTACCAGTCTATACAAAAAACACAGCCACAGTTTGTCAACCCTGCCAGAGACTGCACTTCTGAATTAGTAACTCAGGTATCCAAGCCTGACTATATTCAGGTTTGTGATAAGGGACCCCTAAAAAACCTAATCTTGCCAATAAGAAACCAAGCTTGACTTCTCTTCAGCTAAACTAAGCCCCTTTTCACAGTATTAGGTCACAAAGTTTGAAAACTATTGATTTTTAATAAGAACAGACATTAAGTAAAATTTTACAGTCACCTTCCTAGAATGTCTAAAATAACAGCTAGGGCTTTCAACAGTATCCAAGTTTCTAAAACTACTAATAAACCATATAACTTTAGCTACAACCCTAGAAGAAACGTCTACATGAGTATTCAGAGAACTAGTATATGGTACATACCCTCCCACAAATTTCAGTTCTCTAGTTCTAAATTATTTATATTCAAATTCATAGCATTCCACAAAAATCTCCATCTTAATTGAGTTAAGCCACTGTCCAATCCTCGCTACTTACTGCAGCAGCTAAGGACAGTTTGAGAATCACTACAGTTAAAGTAGAAAGTTAGGTGCCTGGGAAAATTATTTCCAAGTTTGGTCACTGGCAAACTGGGAAGCTCACTATTACCTGCACAACACTGCAGCTCCCATTATGACCTTATTACAAGGCCATACAAAAACATACCCCAAACTGGTCACATAAACACATTAATTACAATGTCATTAAAAATTACAGTAAAAAAGTACAATTTTGCAAATCAGAACTTCAGCAATTTTAACTAGTTTTCTCAAGTCCACTTTTAACATTAATAGTCAAATTAGTTGAGCTAGCTAGACTAACAAGCTCAATAAAAATCCATTAAGATGGGCTTTTAGGTCCCAGAAAATGATCAAATTTTCAAAGTAGAAGTCAGAAAACCTTGAAAAGCAGAAGAAGCACTATTGCAGGAAATGAATGTGAATTTGAATCAGCTGACTTAAATAGCAGTCATTTTAATATTATAAGCCACTTACCTGAAATGTGAGGTGGGTGATGAGCCAACTGTATTAACGGATACTACAAATATGTCAATGGATTGACAAATTCACAAAAACATCTCATTTCTTTCTGAATAAGTCCATTTAAAGTGAGGAAAACATAGCTCCCTGTTTTACATTTATGCTCAGACTATTTTAATTACATCGATAGATACTTTAACGCACAGCCCTCATAGTCAATTAATTCACTACCTCCAATGAAATTTGCTAGTCAGTTACAGCTATTTAGAAATGGCCTTATTAGTAGTAAAGTGAAGAATACACGACATCATTTCAATTTTCAAAGATATTCTTTCACTAAGAACGAGCTAAAAATGTCAACCACAAGAAATTCTCTCCTGATATTAGTTGTCTTTTTTAAATAATGCCTAACACAAAAGACAGTTTAGGTATGGTCATTAAATAAAATTCTGGGAATTCCTGTGAAAACTGACTACAACTCTAAAGCAGTACATTCTTAAAATATTTAATATCAAAAATGGTAGCCTGGGCATTTGAGGTTCTTCCCATGGATTTGGGAAAGGATTTTAAAATGTGACATTACGAAAAAACCCATTCAGTAGGGTCAGTTCCAAACTAAAGTTACCAGATATAGAGATATATACTTGACACCTTTTTTTTTTTTAAGCTAACAAAACATTTAACATAAAGCTAAGAGAAGGCTTTGTCTCAAAGTGATAGCATCAAAGGGCTCAAACATAAAACCCTTACATGCTACACACAAAGGAATCAGATTTACACTTCAAGTCCACAAAGCCTATCCTAGGACTGTGCCCGGGACACACAAGGATTTCAAACTGTACACACACACACAAACACACACACACACACACACACCCCATCAACCTGGGCATAGGCATGTTGTACAAAGCTGCCAAAAGGCATTCCCCACAGTCACTTTTAGGAAATGTTTCAAGACGAAAAAGCAAGTCTGAAGTCTCTTTGGAGTCTTGAATTGATTCTTAAGGCTAGATTGTGTTCTCCCAAAATACTTTGTTGGGCAGAAATAAAGCATTTCCAAATAAATGCCAAGTACTCTGCCTCCGTTTTCAATACTATTTGCTTTTTACTAAAAGTTCAAGATTTCTCAAGGTTTAAACATTTAGTATGATCACATTTCAGTACATACAGAAGAGCATTTTCTTTGTTGTTGACCCTGCTGGGGAAACATGTCTTGACTCAGCCAAAGTGGCGTTCTTGTGGGTGATTAATGACAGGCCTAGATCTCGCCCCAGTGACATCCATCCCCACCCCCCACCCCCTCTATACTAAAATCAGCCATGACTGAACTGGAGGAGGGGCTGTCGTCTCTCCTCAAACCACCTAGTCCTACAGTTAATAGCTGCAACCAATCGATTTAAGCCAAAAAAATAAGAGATTCGGCCGTCTCGCCTAATTCATGACTATTCCCCTGATCATTTCTGATGGGCATCTACTTACTATGGAAACAATTTCTGTGATTCCGCTCTAAGAAAAGGGTCTTCCCCTTCCCTACAATACCGGCCCCTACCCACCCCATCTCCCAAAACCCGCTCCATGACATCAGTCCATTTCTATTGTGTCTCCGCACCCTGAGGAGATAATGAAATGTGGGGTCCTCCGACCACTTTGTTAAGAACGAGGGCCACACACTGGCACCCCCACTTCCGCGGCCTCATCCCTTTACCCCCGGATCCCGATTCTGTCGCCCAACCCCGGGGGCCCCAAGGGCCGAGTCCCACCTGTGGTGAGGCGGGAGGAGACGTCGCCGAAAGGGGACGGCTCCATTCGGAGATACTTCTGCGGCGAGGCAGCAGCGGCAGAAAAGGAGGCAGCGGTGGTCGCAGCCGCCAACGGGGAGGCAGCAGCCGAGGTGGGCGCCGACAATGGCGCACATCGCCTCCTCTTCGGGGACGAAGGGCTCAGCAGCGGGTCGAAATCCAGAGTCCTTTTCAGTGTAGCTCCGCACGCCATGGCTGGGGGCAACGGAGGCACCCGGTTCGGGTGGGGTCAGAGAGGGCGAGGAAAGGGGGGAAGCGCCGGGCCACGAGGAGCTCCGAACCGGCGGGCTGAGGAGCTAGGTGGGGTCTCGGGCACCGGGCTGAAGTGGGCTGAGCCGCCGCCGCTGCCTCCGCGGCAGGGGCAGTGGCCGGGCCAGCCCGGGCGGGAGCGGGAGGGGCGGTGGCGGCACGCACGGCAGCCGCGTCAGGGGGGCTCTTCCGCCTCTTCAGGCACCGCTCCCCCAGGAGAAGCTCCGGCCGCCCCCGCCGTCCGAGAGCTTTGTGCCACGCCGGACGCCTCCCGGCTGAGACCAGCTCCCCTCGGAAGAGGCTACCAGATTGGGGCGGGACGGGGCGGGGTGAGGGTGGGGGTTATGAGGCTGGAACGCGACTTCCAATACGCCCGATTACGGTTGGGAGCTTCTGAGCAGTAGTAGATGAAGAGGGATTGTGAGGTGCCTGCAACAGCAGCAGGAACTCAAACACGTCCAACCGCTTCCCCCTGCACCTTAGGGCTCTTCCACCCGCCGCCGGTCCCAATATGGCGTCAATAACAACGCCGCTGATTCAAATCCTGCGGCCTTAGGGCGCGTGCGCATAGGGGCGGGCCTACCGAGCATGCATTCTGGGAATTGTGGTATTTCCCTATGGGTAGATAGCTGTGTGAAAAGCAGTTAAGGAGGAGTCACAGAAACTATGACTCCCATCATGCAAACTGCTCAATTCCGAGTTCCGGGTTGAAATTTAAATCCCCCTTCCACAGCTAAAGACTACAAGGAACTGAGCAAAAGAGAAAAAAGAAAAATGCTGTGAGACAGTGGGAGACAGGGAAGAGAACCGGTGGGGAGAGCAAGCTAAGCAACAGAGAGACCTGTAAGACTCAGAACATAGTTGCTCCCACAATGACTGCACCGGAAATAGAAAAGAGCCAACCTAATAGTACAAGAAATTAATTTTGGTAAGGAGAGTGCCAAAAACAAAACCTGTCATAGAGGGGACAGGAAATAATGAAAAGATTATAACATGTATTGGGATTGTGAGACACAACAACAGTAGTAGTATCAGATTACAGGATCCTGAATTGAACTCTTGCGTTTTGCACGTTCCAGGTAGCTGCTTGAATACATATTAAATTTTCCAAAGCCATCTTTGCCTCTGTAAATGAATAGGATTTGAACTAAGTACAGAACGAAGTTGTTTTGCTCTGGATAAAAAGCGAGTGATGCCAGAAATTGCATTATCAGTTTAATTTGGTGTACATCTGGTGAACATTAACACACCTAAAACAAATCAAAAGTCATGAGAAAATCACTAGGTAAGTAAACATGGGACCCATTTTATAAGCGAAGGGGTAAAATGTTTCTAAAGGTTGTATTCTTTATTAAGTACCTAAAAAAAGAATTAAATACAACAATTAAGAAGTGATTCATGTATAAACTATGTCCTCCTCTGCCTATGGATGATGTCACCAATCCAAACGTAACTATTTGAATGTCGTTATTAGCTGAATATCAAATACTGAGTTCTAATATTTATTCCCATTGTTTAATAACATTTTGCAGCCATTTTGTCTATTATTCTTTATACCAGCTTTAGAGAGCAATTCAGTTTTTCCTTGTTTTTTTAGGATAATCCAACACCTCAAGATCGGAAGTCTTGATCACACTGTGTCAACAAGCTATGCTAATTTTAATTTAGAATATTATACTTTTTGAAAAATTCTTCTGAAAAAGACCAGCATTTAATGAAACAATAGTTTGATTATGACACCTACTAAGTAAACTTTTACCAAATTCTAGGTACTCCATAAAATCCATGATACTATGAAATTAATAGAATACTCAATTTTATGTAAATGAGTAGAAAAATATTCTTGGTAAATAATTTTTTGAAATTAAGAATTGTTCTTACATTATAGAGAAAGTGAGTGTTATAAACTGAATTGTGTTCCCTCAAAATGCACATGCTCGAGTCCCCAGTACCTCAGAATGTGACTTTGTTTGAAAATAGGGTCACTTTCTAATTAATTCTTTAAGATGAAATCATACTGGAGTTGGGTGGGCCCCCTAGTCCAACATGACTAATATCCTTCTGAAAAGTGAAAATGTGGACAAAGGTAGAAGGTAGAGACATGAAGGTATAGGTTAAAATGATACCTTTACAAACCAAGGAATATCAATGATAGCCGGCAAGCCACTAGAAACTAGGAGAGAGACACTAAACAAAATAGTCCTCGCAGTCCTCAGAAGGAACCAACCTGAGGACACTCCATCTTAGAATTCTATTCTCCTAATTCTGTGAGACAGTAATTTTCTGTTGTTTAATCTACCTGGTCTGTGGTACTTTGTTATGGCAGCTGTAGAAAACTAATACAGTGGGATTGTGATTATCTTTTGAGATTCTCTAGGCTGCCTAGAAAATGAAAAAAAAGTTTGCATTTATTACGTGTGTGGGGAGATATGATTAAACTGTTAAATTTATCAGATAATAGCTGCTTGTGTGGTCATCACTGGACAACATATCTGCAAATGGCTGTCAAAATTAAACAGCAACAGAGTTGTGGAGCCTCTCTTACCCTAGGACTACAGAAACTTAAGACAAGGGGGCCCCTTCCCTATTCATCTCTATCTTTGCTCAAACTCTCTTGCTCCTCACTTGTTGCTTTGCTATTTAAGACTCAGCCCAAGCATTAACTCCTCTATGAACCCTTCCCCAATGCCTCAAGCTTCAGTTAGTTTTATAGACTTACAGAGGACACACTCATCAGCATGCCTTCATCATTATTGTCACCACACTGCAAATTAATTCTCTGTTCACATACCTGCTTTTGCCACCACTGTGTTAGCTCCTTACCAACAGTATAGTTACCTTGCCCACCTCAGTAACATCCATTCAATATTTCTTACACACTTTCTACCACATTGACCTCTCAATAACCTATGTTATCTTTATCATTTAAGATACATATCTACTAGAATACTATAGCAATCATTTTAAGGTGGAAGAAAGCTTTGAAAGAAAAAAATACCCACAAAAATATTTCTTAGACTAAAATTGAAAATAATAATAAAACTTAAATTTTAGCAGTTTAGAGTTTTTTATCTTACAGAAAAGGAAAAAGAAAACTATATTTAACACATTAATAAGTTGAATCAGGTCACATGAATCTAAATATAATACAGCTAGTGGTTCCTGTGTCCTACACATACCAGAATTGCTTGTTAGGAGTAAATCATTGGAGTTTTAAAGGCTTGATATTTGGAATAATTTTACTGCAGTCCAGGAAGTATTTCCTGATTTGTACAGTCTCAGAAGTCTCTGAAGAAAATGAAACTATTTCACTAAGATGCTGGTATTTACTTGGTATTAGACTTTTCTAACACGTCTCAAAATATTCCCCAGGATCTGATTCTGATGAGTCATTCTTTGACTAAAGCAAGTAAAAGTAGACATAGCTGGATAGAATAAAACCTCATCATCCTGAGTCTGAAGATCCACTTTGTAATATGTCATTTTCAAACAAGCCTTCTGATGCCAAATAAAGATAAATGCAAATACAAAAGATGTGGAGAGTTGTTTGCTGACTTTTTAATGCTGAGTTTGAATAATTGTAGGCTCAGCATTAGAAACATCAGTTCTAATTCAGGAGCCACTTCAAATCTATATTCAGAATGATTGCCTAGGGAAGAAAAATTGTTTAATCATTGTTTAAATGAGTGCAGTTAGGAAAGAACAGCTATGTAATTCCTTCTACATAAGAGTTTGAAGGATTATTCAAACCTCTTTTAAGCATCATATTTGCAATACACAAGTATTTTGCATTGTAGATATGATGCTAGTTTTTTGTTGTCATTTTGAATGTAGACATTTTGAGTTGATTGAATAGAGCATAATCAGAATTGTTCCTTGACTTAACAATAGGACTATGTCCCAATAAATTCATTATAAATTGAAAACATTAGTTGAAAATGCACTTCATACACCTAGCCCACAGACATCATGGTGAACAACACAATATATTGTAGGATGTCAGTTGCTTCCCCTCATAATAGCATGGCTGACTGGTATAACACCAAATATCGCTGGCCAGGAAATAGATCAAAATTAAAAGTACATTGTCTGCTGAATATATATTGCTTTCCTATCATTGTAAAGTCAAAAACTCCTCAGTTGAATCATTGAAAGTCAGAGACCATGTGTTACTTCCAGTGATTTCAGAAGGTCACCTAATGCAGTCCCCAAGCTCAAGAAAAGATTACTATACTTAAGCCAGATCAGTATCTGGCCTCACTCTTCCTTAAGATTTGCAGTTACAACATCCAAAATCCTGTGCAGGTGTAAAAACACAACTACAAATTCTCTTCTATTTAGTTTTAGTCCTTTCTCCATCAGAGGTTGGCTTTTTGTATAGTACCCTATAAAGAGCAATGCACTCCAGAAAATAAGCTATACCTCAGACTTTAAAAGAAGCCACATGATAGATTTGAGTAGCCAAAATAAGATTCTATAGCATATTCATTTTAAAATTTGCATACTTAAGTACATAACCTCAAGTACCTTTACCCTTTTATGAAACTATTTATTCTTTACAGAAAAACCTTAGTGCTTGGGGATCTTATTTTCCAGCCTAAAGCAATTAGAAGAATCAGGTAGGAGAGGGAAATAGGAATTGAATGCAAAACAATATACTAGCTACAAAAAGAAATGCAATCCCTTGATAGTAAGAAAGAGATTGTAAGAAATAACTAGAGAATTTTTTAAGAAGCACAACAGCCTTGAGACATTGTCATCAGGATCATTAATTCTACCTTAGCTCCACTGCAGTTGTGGCAACAGAATACTATTACAGCACCATATCATAATGGTAGGGTTGTCAGAAGTAACATAAAAATAAGACACCATTTAAATTTTAACTTCAGATAAGGAATAATTTGTTAGTACAGTAGAAGTATTCCATTACTCTTGCATATGTTTAGCTGAAATCCAAATTTTACTGAGTGTCGTGTATTATGTCTGTCAGTCCGCACAAGGAGGACAAGATGGAGACCCCCAAGTCATCAAAAAAAGCATAACTAGGTTTAGTATACAGTTCAAAAAGTATGTGAAATACAATATTATAAAATATTCCATTGATAGTGTTTAGAATTAAGAGAATCAAGTTTCAGTTGTTTGGAAAATTAATTTATATGAAACATTTTGGGCCATGTGTGTTCTATTCACTGCAGAGCGGCAGGCATAAAATACACAGTAAACATTTGATGAATAAGGGAAAGTTTAACATACCATCTCACCACTGGTAAGCACTTCAAGTACCTGAAGGTTGTCCCTGGCTCCAGTTACTTAGTTTTAGAATGCCTCCATACCTCCTACTACAGGCGTCGGCTCCATTGGCTTGCTTATATCCATGCCTGGGTCAGAATTGGTATCACTGTCTGTGTCAGGCTCCCGTTCCCTCTTGGGCCTTTGGTCCTGTGCTTCCATGATGCTACCTCAAACCTCTGATGAGCCTTTTCAAGAAAATGAGATTGTCCCTGTATTTCCCACAATATTTTGGGTTTCCTTCTGCAGGCCCATTGTTATAAGGGTCAATTAAGTGTGTGGCATGAAGCAAATGAAGAAAGAGGCCCAGTCGTTTCCAATCTCACCCACTGATAACAAGCATCATTTGGGACCAATTATTGGTTGCTTGTAGCTCACAAGCCTGTGTTAAGGCTAGGGCTTCACAGAGTGCCCAACAAATTGTATCCTACTGCTAATCTTTGTGGCAAGGTTAGTCCAAGAAGTTGTCCCCACTTGGACTTAAAGGAAATTATGCAAAGAGTTTGCCTTTGAGCAGTGCGTCATAGAGTGAGTCTATGGGAAAAAGACGGTTCTCCCCTTTAAAGTTTACTTTCTACCTTAAATGTTTAAAGATTCTTTTCCAGAAGTCCCATTTATGATAATTTGGAAAAGAAAAATATAATTATATGTAACTTTTTTTGAAGGAAAAAAGTCATCCCAATTACCATCAATTTGGAAACTAAAAGCCAGTACATCTTACAATGGTACGTAGTCCATAGTAAACCCTTAGTAAGTGCCAGTGTTACTATCATGCTATGGCAAATTCCAAAATCATCCCAAACCTGAACTAGGAAGAATCTCAAGAGTATCTTCTTGTCCATTAGACTGTCTAGAGGCCAATTATGACTGCTGGGCTCCAGACTGAGTCAGCCATCCCCCTCCACATACCACTCAATGCCTGCACTCTGAAGTAAACTGCTGCCAATGACTTCTGCTCGGTTTTGCCTTACCCCTGGGTAATGAGGTTAACTGTCTGACTGTATTTGTAGGGTGGTGCTTTATTATCTTCTCTTGTATTTCAAAGACGTGTCCCAGAGATGTCTTCCCCAAAAGAAATGGAGGTTCAGATTAAAATTGTCAACTGGTGTCCCAACTATTTTCCAACTGTCATTCCAATTCAAATTCATTTTTTATTGGTTTGATCATTCACACTTGTCAATCCAAAAAAATCACAACAGTTTTGAAACAAAGGCCATGGTTATCTACTGAAGAGAGAATCAACTAGCTAAACCTGATGCTCTCTGACAAGCAGTCCAGCAGTAATTGATGTAAGCTTTATAGCCTGTTTCTAACCCCAAACACCCACTCTAGCTTTCAGGTTCCAAGAGATGATAATAGTAATCAGCTTAATTTAACTGGTCTGTTGGCAGCTTATTTTGGAATATAAAAAGTGACATGTAAGGTGGGGTGCATACAAAAACCATTTTAAATTTTGAGAGTGGTGTTCCTTATTTAAACCATCACTCACTTAGAGTCTACTAGTCAAAGACACTGGCATCAGTGGCATGCAAGATGAAAAAGGCTAATTCCCCTCCAAGGAAGCTTACAGTCTGGTGGAGGATATATGTACACAAATAATTCTACACAGAGTGCAAAAGAGCTCACTCAGAGAACAGCTAGGTTCTAAATCAGCAAAGTCAAGTTATAGGGTGTGCCTCTGTAATTCCACTTAAGTGAGTGAGAACCTAGGTTAACAATATTTGGGGGGAATAAAAGTTATTATTTCTAGAGATTCCACCATTACCCCAGTATGTTTTCAGTTTAACTAATAAAAATTCTAAAAGGTAGTAGTGTTGATCCAATTTTACTGCTGAACTTGTGGTTCATGGCTAAAGTCTCAATCTAAAATAGGTCAGAGTTGAGACTATAACCCAAGTTTATACCAAAGATGCATTCCACACTGCTGACTTGGCTACAAAAAAACAGGAAGGGAAGAGACAGATTAGTTTACATTTTACAAACATTATAATGGAAATTCTAGCAAGTGGTCAAAGATATATATATATATTTTATTGGAGCTGGGGATAGAGCTCAGGACCTTGCTTGTGCTAGATAAGCAATCTACCACTGAGCTACATCCTCAGCTCCTAAAAATAATATATACCTCTAAGGGGAATCTCAACATATTTCCAGAAGATATAAAAAAAT